CGTTGTGAAGATGCGCTGCAAGCTCTCGTTTTCGAAGGGCGTGATGAAGATGAGATTATAATGCCTGTGCCAAATGGTCGGGCTCAAGAAACGCAATAAAAGGCAGAGTAAGTGCTGGCACGAGTCCCGCGCTATGAAACGCTCGAAAGACTGGCAGAGCATCAAAAACGAAAGAAGGATCATATGAAAATGCATGGCACGTGGAAGGCACAGACCCACGGCAACGTTCAAATACAACGAGTCGTGCGATACAATGTTGGATGTGGAGAAAGACAGCAGCACGACCACCACCACCACCGCCGCAACCACCAAAAACCGCAGGAGCTACATAAGGAACACAGGCAGCAAGAGGATGGGAAAGAGTAGAAAGGGACATAATGCAGAGAGCATCGGAGGCGAAGGAGAAAGCGGGGCAGCAGCAGCAGCAACAGCAGCAGCAGGAGCTAGACCAAGGTTGGGACACCATTGCGGCGAGTGCTGCTACATTTTCGGCAAGCGCAGGCTCGAACCTATTCCCGCTGATGCTCGCCCGCTCCTCCTCCTCCTCCACCTCTCCCTATCGGGGGGCCGAGAAAGGGGGGGCAGGGCCAAGGGCGGGTCAGAAGAAAATCGGCATGGACGACCCCTGGAAGCCTCCAGCTGGGTTCGTTCCCTAACCTCGCGTTGGGCGAACCTCCCTCTACAAAACCCTGCTACTGACCTTTCCTTTTCACTCTCCAACTCCCCCCCTCCTCCTCCTACTTGTCTATCCCGCTCCCCAGACTGCCTCATAATGTCTCCCGTGCACCCACTACGTACTCCTCGCACTCCCTCTACGTGGCACATATCAGCGACGACAGGCAACACGCGGAGTTGGGACCATGAACTCCGACCCCTTCTTCTTTATAATCATATGTTCCTCCTCCTCCTCCTCCTCCTCCTCCTCCTCACCCTCATCCTCATCCGCATCCTCCTCTTCCTCCTCCATATCCTCATCCACCTCCTCTCCTCTCCTATCCTATCCACTCCTCTCAATTCCTTTTCCTTATGAATAACTCCTCCCTGTCGCACCCCGAGGCCAGCCGGAAGGGCGGACCGGGCGTTTCGCCTGAGAATTCCTTCGTACTTGTGAACCCCAAGCGAAAAATTGACAACAGCTTCGCAGAGTAAGGGCGGGTGGTTTTCAAAATGTGGCTGAAGCCTTAGCGCGGCGAGCATTCGATTGAAAGATGGCAAGGGTTTCACGGAGTGAGGGCGAGTGGTGTTCAAAATGTCGCTCTCGCATTAGCGACGCGCACATTCGTTATAGAATGCAAGAGGTTCACTGATTATTGGGGGCGGGTCGTTTTCAAAATGTGGTTCTGGCTTTAGCGCCGCGCACCTTCGTTTCAAAAAAAAAGTTTCACAAAGTAAGGTCGGGTGGTTTTCAAAGTCAAGCTCTGGCTTTAGCGCGGCGCACATTCGTCTCAACAATTTGCAAGAGCTTCCCTTATTGAGGACGGTTCGTTGTCAACATGTGGTCCTCGCTCTGACGCCGCGCACATTCGTTTCAACAAATTCGCAAGAAATTTACTGGTTTTCATGGCCAACGGTTCCAGATATGTAATTTTGGAACGGATCGCTAGCGCGCAACATTTACGTTGATTCGCGGTGCTGACATCCAAGAAATGGTGTTCTGGCCCGAATTCAGGTCGTCAAGACGCGACAGTCAGGTTGACTCGTGGCGTTGAAGTCCTGAGAGTGGTGTTTTGGCACGCTTCACTATGTTTGCACGGTCGTCCCCCAACTGAGCACTTCCCTCAGCGGACATGAACCCTTGTAGGGGCCTACACGGGGCCTTGGAGGGAAAATACATTCCAATATCGTTGATGAGTCTTGGGTTTGCACTGGTATGTACGTCCAGGCTTGGATCTTGCGAGAGCTTCTAGGGAGCAGAATATCTTGGTTTGGTCAGATGGTGGGTACTGGCCCTCGGAAGGTATATGACCACCTACCAGACCGCCCCAACCCAACCCCAAGACCCGAATTTCGGGTTGGGGGGGTGCGGGTTCCACGATTACTTGCTTTCTCAATGTTCCTCGACCCCCCCTCCACTTTAAATGGAGGGCAAATTGAGGCCTTCAGGTTGGGTTCGGGTGATTTGGTGGGTGGTGAGTATCGGGTCGTATGGGTGGGTCGTCCGCAGTGCTAATCCTCCTTTCTCAAAGCTCTGTTACGCGTACGTCTTCCTCTGCCGGGCTGCAGAGACAGTCTCTGCGCAGAGGCCACGGACGTGACGAGAGAGCCTTGGCCCTGCTGCTGGGTCTGGTCAGAGACTGGACGCCTCGGAGGCTGGGCTTCATCCTGGGGGTGGAGCCGACGACCGAGCCAGTATCCTTGACTTGGACCTACATGGTAAATGTGTGAAGGCTGAAAGGCCCCGCCGCCACCTGGCCCTGCTCTGAGCGGGCCCGGCTTCCATCTCCCTCCCGCCCGCGCCGCGCTCCCGTTCTCTTCGCCCGTGCACCGCGGCTCAAGTTGC